GCGGAAGAGATCTTAAACGTGCACGCATGTTTGCAGCATAAACTTCTCAAAGAAAAGTATATTTAATTTCTAAACATTTCGATTTTATATTTTAAAACACTTATAATTTCATATTCTTAAGTCTTGTTTCATTTGCTAAAGAATAAAACGTAAAAAGGTTTGAAAGCACAAGTAAGAGCTGCCTCAAGTGTTTACATATATGCAATGCTCCAGAATCAATTAACGTCAACGTTGTTACTTTTCTCGCTTGGATGTCAATTTAAAGACCTATTTAGATCGTGCATTATGCAGTTCGACTCCGGTAATTTGTGATAAATGCGACGTACAATGCGGCATCGTAATTCAGCGAAAAAAGGAATTGCGATAGAAAGCCGCTGGAATCCGGAATTTCTATTCTAAGTCCATCCCATTCGGTAGATACTTGCACGTACGTTCACTCACTGACAGCAAAACGTGTGTCGTTGGTCCTTTTTATAAGGCAACTACGTATTACATGATTTTGCACCAATTTGTCTCTCTTTAGCATTATAATTAATAATTCTTTAATAATGAGGTAATTTTTGTTATGAATTTCCACCGAACTTCTTATATTCTTTTCTCGAATTTACATATGTAAATATGCATAAATGTCTGTAGTGCATAATAAATATCTCAAAGAGATATTGAGATAAACAATATTTAACATCATTAAAAATTAGTTAAAAAATAAATAAACAATTATAAATATACTCATGTATAAGTTTTTAAGACAAACATCGTAATATTTAAAAGAAATATGTGAAAAACGTTTATTTTATAGAATAAGTTTTGTTATAAAATGTGTCAAAAAAAGAGAGAACAAGATATTAAAATTATATACATATACAGGGTGTCCCAAAAGTCCCGGACCGGTCAAATATTTCATAAACAATGCACTTTAGAAAGAAATGTTTCAGACAAAAATTGTATGGCTTGAAGGGAGCCATCAGATAGTGGCAATGATTTGACATGGAAGAGTCATTTGAAACACGTGAAGATCACCGTTAATTTCTTAAATGGAACTTCCTATTTTTTATTAAATATTCTGGTAGCTCATGTCGAGAGCTTTCCAAAACACTATAATTAAGTTAGTTTTCATTAAGTACTTTCTGAATTATGAGGCTTGAAATAATTTCTTAATTTTACATAAACCGTAAAATATGTATCTTGTAAAATATTTATTTTTCGATTATCTTACCTTAATACTTTTATGTACAAAATAATGAGAGGAATCAATTGGTGTAAAGAAAACACATATTTGCAATTAACAATTACATATTTTTTTAAAACAACTATGTGTTTTCTTTACACCAATTGATTCCTCTCATTATTTTGTACATAAAAGTATTAAGGTAAGATAATAGAAAAATGAATATTTTACTAGATATTTTATGGTTTATGCAAAATTAAGAAATGATTTCAAGCCTCATAACTCGAAAAGTACTCAATGAAGAAATACTTTATTATAGTGTTTTGGAAAGCTCTCGAGATAAGCTACAAATAAAAAATAGGGAGTTCTATTTAAGAAATTGAAGGTGACCTTTACGTCACCTTCAAATAACTCTCCAAGGTCAAATCATTGCCACTATCTGATGGCTCCCTTCAAGCCATACAACTTTTGTCTGAAACATTTCTTTCTAAAGTGCATAGTTTATGAAATATTCGACCGGTCCGGGTCTTTTGGGACACCCTGTATAATATTCTACTAGTTCATCAATATAATACAAGCATTTAAAAAGTTTGCAAATTTTTCCGATATATAAAAGAAATCTACTACATCTTATATCTATCAAAATGTCCGAAATGATTTCAAAATAAGCGGGATATCGCACCGCAGCAACGGAACAGTGAATGTCAAAGTGTTTTGACGGCAAAATGTTGTAAAACTCGATTGCTCGAAGTTTCACCAGTGGATGTAACAGAAAGAAAACGAGTTCTTTCTTCTTTTTTCTTTACCGTTATACTGGTTGGTCACGATTAACGACACTCATTAATAATTCAGCGCAATCCATTGCATCCTACGATCGCGACGAAGGCACGAATGTCTTCGAATTGAACAATAAAAGATATTCTTCTTGTATAGAATGGAAGAAATAAACAATCATCCCTGGATAAATATCCGGAAATCAGTCTTGCCACTCATAAATAAAATATTTATATTTTCCTGGAAGAAATTTAAAATAGAAGTTTAAAAATGCTACATTAAGTTTAGTTTATCTTTGATAATTATTTATACGATGTATATAACTCGATACTCTTAAGCAAGGCAAGATGAGATAGAAAGTTGTAATACGATAGAGATTTATAACGCCGTGCGGTGATTGTAAAGTGGTGTTTTACAGTCGTAATTAGAACATATAATCTATCCGATTTATGTCCATAGGAAAAGCAATTTTGACATTATGTGATGCATAAACTGTGTAAAAAAAGATATAAATAAAGACAATGTAAAAATAAATATAATAATAAAATCAATAATCTGGAAAATAATATAATTATTAGTATTATATATAAGTAGAATGCGGATTTATAGGTAGCGAGTTATTGTAATTAATATTGTAATTAATAATTAACTTAATAATTCTAATTCAAACTGCATAAACAAATACAAATTCTCCACCCATCGCATAGAAAAAAAATATTGGTATTTTAAAAAAGAACTTAACGAGAAAAAAGAGAGAAAGTGTAAAATAAAATATTATTTGTCATAAATCGATAAAAAATGAGATGAGATTATAATGGCGAGACAAAATCAATCAAGTGCTAAAAATTCCAGATAACTTAGTAGCAAACGATCACATTAATTTTCATTAATGTTTATCTTTTTACATCTTTTATCTTTTTAATTTTTATCTTTATAAAAGCAAAGTAATAAAAAAACAAAGTATTATACACTATGTCAGAATCGCAGGCTCACGTAGCTTTTTCCTTCAATGTGAAACAATAAAATTTGATTGGATTCACTTGAGATTAAGAAAGTGAAAAGCAAAGAAATTTATCAATTTACTGATTCAATTACACAGATAATTCTCAAAAGTTTCGCGCTTTCATAGTACGAACAGGTGAATTTTATAACATAACGTTACGAAGCACATAATGAAGTTATGATGGGATATATCCATTTTTTTGTATGTCAGTCAAACACACACAATATATATTATATATGTATATAGTATTAGTAAAAGGCCCGCCCACGCCCGACGAAAACATCATGTGATTACTCGGCGATTTCAATGCCGCTGTTCGGCTAAGATTTATGTCGTTATATCAAAAAAAAAATAAATACGTCAACGAGGTCGTCGGACGATGAAAGTGAGAGGACACGTAGCACCCGGAAGGACAGAACGAGTTCTTGATTCTGCAAAAGCTTAACAATGTATGCGTGTGTGTGTGCATGCATATGTATACGGTTACGCTAATCCCATTGTAAAATTACTATTGTATTTGAATATATTGTTGCTGCATCTCAAACTGATAGATTTTTTGCGAATGTCTGAAATTCTCATTTTACATGACAATCTCACGTTAACTGATTCGTTATAAATAATTATTTAATATAATTAAATAAATAGTTTGTATTTTGATCTAAACTAATTTTATTTTTTATCTAAACTTATGGTAAAAAAATTTTTTGAGAAAAGATTGATAAATTCTAAGCTAATTATTTTCTAAGCTAATTATAATTAAGCACAAAGGAAGTAATTAATGTTCAGCTAATAATGATAATCATTATTTTCTACTGTATATAAATATATAATTTTAAATAATATAAGTATATAGTACATAATAATAATATTAATAATAATAATAATAATAATAATTTTCGAAATTCCATAAATTGTACAGTTAATTCCAATAAATCAAATTGAATAGAGACTACGAGTTAGTATAGATTAGAATCAATTATTTAAATAATCATAAAGTATTGTGATAATTACATTGAGATCAGCAAAAAATATTGTATTGGCAATTTATATTATGTCGACAAATTTAATCGACGCTAATTAATAATACATATATTTATCGATTTTAAATTTCTTGCTCAATCTAGAATCGATCGAATTCGACATCAGCAAAATAGCAACGAAAATATTTTAGATGATTTAAGTATAAATTATTGCAAACGTATATCTTATCATCAATTACAACAAAAGCTGTGCCCTAATAATAATACAAACAACCGATCGCGATGTTTAATTTCGCATGTTTATCTTAAATCCAACATTCAAATCAAACTTTTTTCAGACCGGTTCCACAATGTCTCGCATGAATCCGCGCGTGATGTAACAACATCATCGTCAAAAAAAAAGATCAAAAAAGATCAAACTCGAAGATGAAGCCGCATGTGAAAGAAACATGTTAACACAGGGCAACCTGTAAATATTTTTCTGGCAGCAGAACGATTTTAAATTGTTTCCTTTTCTCGATAATGATAGTAAAATTGGAGCAAATTGTTCGGCCGATCTTTTTAGATCACTGATAGCATGGCGTAATCGAAATAAAAATCAGCTGAAGAATTCCTTTTTTGCATAACGCACGAATAATTTAGAAAACTGCTATTTCTAATCAATTAAGTTTAATATACATTAATTTACGTTGATTTATTTATAATTTTGCAAATTATTATCGATAATAATTTAACCCCTTTTTTCAAGTTGTATTACATAATTATAAAAATGGAAAAATAATATAATGTGATTATTATATATGGCATATTATTTGTTCTCAGATTTAAAAAAAAAACCGTAAAAAAATATAAGTGGAAATAAAATAAAAATTATACAATCATATTTCAGATAAATATAAAAAATATTAATAATACTTTAATTTTTTTAGTAACATAAAAGACAATGTATAGCCTTATGTTTATTTATTTGAAAAATATTTTATTTTAAATAAAAAATTGCGTCTATGATTATTAGACAAATCTAAATCTGACGATGTAAGTCAATTAATCAACGTGAAAAAAAAATTATACTCACCATATTAACTCCAATTATTCAAAACAACAAAAACAACAAACGTAACTCGTAACACCGAGAGCAGAAAATCGACGAAAAATTCCTCGAACACTGTGCCTAATTGATGGAAAAACAATATGCGAACGAAAAGAAAGCTCAACAGACAACGCGACAGAGTTGTCAGAGTAAAAAAAGGAAAAAAAGAGTCTCTTCGTTACGGATCAATACGAATCAATAATCGAAAATCCGCCGCCGCATGATTGTGGAACTGTCACTGACAGCAGTTCGGGAAACACTGACTGGTGTGGCGAACGAACCTACTATCATTCTTTCTCTCTTTCTCTATCTTACTCTCTTTCATTTTCCCTCTCTCTAGCTATATCACTCCCCTTCCCTCCCACCCTCGCTCTCTCTCTTTTTCTTTGCCTCCCTCTTCCTGAACGGGGTGCACCCTCTTCCTTTCTCGTATACACTGCACATTTTCGCAGCATATTTCCAGACGACGATGTCTTCGTCGCCGCCACCATCGTCGTCGTAGCCGTAACGGCAATTAAAGCCACCTTTCATTTTGCGTATAGTAAGTGACAGCGTGCGCTATAGTTGAAATCGGTCGTGCAGGACGACGCGAAAGATCGGCACTGGCAAAAGCACCAGCAATTATGGAATATCGATCACTCTTACTCAGTGTTTGCTGTAGATAATTTCAAAATTATCTAGATAAAGACAAAGATAAAAATCCGTAAATTTATCTTAGATGAGATAAAGATGATTTTGCTTTTACTTAATCTAGATGAAAGGTTAGATAATTATTGCAATCTAGATAATTATTTAGATATTTTTGTTTATTTTAGAAGACTATAAATATTTGTAAAAAATATGACGCAGATTATAAATGGGATATTAAAATCATAAACACATACTCTTTCTCTTTTCTTAAAGAATATTTAAATAATAGCAAAAAAAGATATATAAATGATATGATAAATATTTATTTATTAATTTATATTTATAATATATTTATAATATATTAATAATATAGTAATAATATATTTATAATATATTAATAATAATAATAATATAAAAAATATATTTTAGATATTTTAGATAGATTTTTAGAAGCTTGCTTTAGATTTTTGGAAAACTTTTTTGCATAATGAAAACGTCATCTTATACAATTTTTAAATAAAATGACATATATTTTTCATCTAAGATAAAGATAAAGATACTTTGTATTTCTTTATCTAGTTAAAGATAAAGATGATCCATTTCTTTATCTAGATGATTATCTAGATAATTTTATCTAGATACCAGCAAACACTGCTCTTACTGTCCATAACATCTTCCATTTCGGCATGAATATTAAAACTAAGATATATTACAAATTTAATTTAAAGTATATCCAATCGCGCACAGCTAGATTTTATATCAATTTTTCATATATTTGTTTCAATGTTTTTCATAAGCAACAATTATAGTTAATTGAGATTCAATTTGTTCTTCTTTTTATCAAATGCAAGATTAAAAAAGAATTTAAAAAGGTTAAATTTAATTATGTTAATTAATGTTAATTATTTATAAATATATGTTTTTTGGTTAATTAATATGTACTAAGGAGATCAATAATTTTTATAGGCTTTTCCCCATAACTTCAAAAGTACAATAGTTTAATAGGTAATTGCTATGATAACTGTAAATGTAAGATAGTATTTGCCAGTTACTTTTGATGTTGCCTAAATGCCAATAAAATTATTTAAGCAATATATACAAAAGTTTTATAGTTGTCATTGCAAGACATAACGAATAATAATTTAGCAACTTATGCAACTATCTTATGTGCATGTATTTTCAAATTAAACATATGCAGAAACATAAAAATAGCATTAGTATTACAATTTTTTGCTTTGTGTCGTATAAATATACAAGTTAGCGTTAAAGTTTTTTAATTATATTAGAATTTCGATAATTATATAGAGAATATGTGTGAAATTTCCATCACTGTCCGAAATAATTTTAATTATGTTAGGAAAATAAAATGCAAAATATAATGCACAATATAATAATCGGTAAAATTTGTGATAAAGGTATGAGATAAATTGAACTTTAATATAAAAAGCACGATTGACTAAACGGCTAATACATATAATTGATGGGTTATTTAAATGTTGCAACACTTGCAATATAATTGAGGAAATATTCCAGCAAGTTATCGATAGCAATCGTGCAATCAGCCTACATAGCGATTGGGAATGATATACATAAATATATAATTTATATTGTATTTTTATGCAGCGTAATAAATAATCTCCTAAAATGAATTTAAAATTATCGTTTCCATGTGCATATTAAGTATATGCATTAAGTATATAGCGATTTCCCGCGAGTATATAGAAGATATAGAAAGTTGACAATCAAATTTACATCTGGGAATTGTAGAAGTGAAGAGATTGTCGTTCGCCGTGAAAATCTCACTGCTGTTGCAAAATGCCAGTGAGGAAGGCGCACAGTCTGTGACATTGTCCTACCGTGAGCTGATGAAACGCACTTTTATTCAGCATTTGTACAGGCATAGTCAGGGTTAGCGAACTCTTTCAATTATTTTTTTTGTAATTTTTATCCATTAGAAAAGAAAGAGATAGTTTGAATTAATCAAATTAGAGAAAGCAATAATCGATTCAATTAAGCAAAAAAATGTTGCATTTGAAAGTATGTGAAGTATATACAGAGTGTCCCAAAAGTCCTCGGACCGGTCGAATAAATTATGCACTTTAGAAAGAAATGTTTCAAACAAAAGTTGTATGGCTTGAAGGAGGCCATCAGATAGTGGCGATGATTTGACATGGAAGAGTCATTTGAAAGTCACGTGAAGATCACCGTCAATTTCTTAAATCAAACTCCCTATTTTTTATTACATATTCGTATAGCTTATCTCGAGAGCTTTCCAAAACACTATAATAAAGTATTTCTTCATTGAGTACTTGTCGAGTTATGAGGCTTGAAATCATTTCTTAATTTTGCATAAACCATAAAATATGTAGTAAAATATTCATTTTTCTATTATCTTACCTTAATACTTTTATGTACAAAATAATGAGAAAAATCAATTGAAAAGAAAACACATAATTGTTTTAAAAAAAATATGTAAGTGTTAATTGCAAATATGTGTGTTTTCTTTACACCAATTGATTCCTCTCATTATTTTGTACATAAAAGTATTAAGATAAGATAATCAAAAAATAAATATTTTACCAGATATTTTATGGTTTATGCAAAATTAAGAAATGATTTCAAGCCTCATAACTCGAAAAGTACTCAATGAAGAAATACTTTATTATAGTGTTTTGGAAAGCTCTCGAGATAAGCTATACGAATATGTAATAAAAAATAGGGAGTTTGATTTAAGAAATTGACGGTAATGTTCACGTGACTTTCAAATGACTCTCCCATGTCAAATCATTGCCACTATCTGATGGTCCTCTTCAAGGCATACAACTTTTATTTAAAACATTTCTTTCTAAAGTGCATAGTTTATGAAATATTCGACCGGTCCGGGACTTTTGAGTCACTCTGTATATCTTATTATACATGTGTTTTATTTTTTAAATAAAAAAAAGTAAATGTCTATCATATAAGGAAGATATTCATAGTATTCATTAATGAGCTTCCGTCTAAGTACATAGTCCTTGATTACTGGTCTGCTCTAATTGAGATTGTATCGTTGTAATTATAGATACCATTGTGATTAAGATTGAAGTTAGACTTTCGCTAAAGAAACATTAACGGCAAATTACTTCTAGAGTACACTATCTCCAAATGTTATCTTCTGAAGAGGTCTTGTAAACGAATTACAAGAAAAGATTGTCCTTTTAAACGCTCTAGAAAATAGCAATTGATTTTTTCATTTTTTTCATCCACACATTACACAATATAATAGCCGTAATAATGGCAATTACACGTATTTCAAGAACCTAGATGCAAACAGGCAAAAGTGCTCGTTTTTCAAGATCCATCACTTTTGGCATCTGAATTGAATTCGAGCGACATTTAATTGTACACTGTAACGCTCATGTTTTGTAAGAAGCGCTGTCTCTTTATGTATAAATCATTTCGTGAATCAATCGCGTACAATGACTCGCAGGAAGAGCAGGAAAGTGAAAGAGGATACCAATTTGAATCGTCGTTAATTGTCACGAAGACCATGCGTTATCCATCGTCCATTCTTCGCTCGTTTAAAAAGCGAAAGTGAGTCGCGATTCTTCCTCTCGCATCTTCCCAGCTCTCCGTTTCTTCCTTCATCTCTTCTTCCTTTTCACACTCATATAAGAATTTTAATCTTCCCCTTGTATGAAAATACCTCGCTGCTCCTTTCTCTCAACTGTTAAGTGATTCTTAACAAACTGTAAGTATCTATGTATAATTAACGTTATAGACAGTGTTTGCTGTAGATAATTTCAAAATTATCTAGATAAAGACAAAGATAAAAATCCGTAAATTTATCTTATTGTTAGATGAGATAAAGATGATTTTGCTTTTACTTAATCTAGATGAAATATGAGATAATTATTGCGGTAGATAATTATCTAGATATTTTTGTTTATTTTAGAAGATTATAAATATTTGTAAAAAATGTGACGCAGATTATAAATGGGATATTAAAATCATAAACACATATTCTTTCTCTTTTCCTAAAGAATATTTAAATAATAGCAAAAAGATATATAAATGATATGATAAATATTTATTTATTAATTTATATTTATAATATATTTATAATATATTAATAATATAATAATAATATATTTATAATAATATATTTATAATAATATATTTATAATATATTAATAATAATAATATGAAAAATATATTTTAGATATTTTAAATAGAACTTTTAGAAGCTTGCCTGGAAAACTTTTTTGCATAATGAAAACGTCATCTTAGACAATTTTTAGATAAGATGACATATATATTTTTCATCTAAGATAAAGATAAAGATACTTTGTATTTTTTTCATCTGGTTAAAGATAAAGATGATCAATTTCTTATCTAGATGATTATCTAGATAATTTTATCTATACCAGCAAACACTGCCCATATAAGAATTTTAATCTTTCCCTTGTATGAAAATACTTCGCTGCTCCTTTCTCCCAATTGTTAAGTGATTTTTAACAAACTGTAGGTATCTGCGTATAATTAACGTTATAGAGAAATACAAATTGCTCGAACAGCGCATATTGCAGTTTAACCGCAAAACGGTCGTTAACCTTTTCCCTCTCGAATCGCCGATCACCGTGTAATAAGCGCGACCATCAGATTTCGAAAATTACATCTGTGAGGAGTTATTTGTTATACGTTATTCCCACGTTCCTTTCCGCATGTCAATGCGGATTACCCAATATGCTCGTGACTGGAAACCCCTGATTTAAACTATCTGAAGTAATTGCGATGTACAACAAATTGGACGGAAAAGGGAGAACCTCCTTTTATCATTTAAATGAGATTTTATATAAGGTGAAGATTTCGATAAACTTCTAAGACACGGTTGGACAGAAAATTCGGCAAAATCAAACGTATAAATATCTTTAAAACTCATAACTTTCGCAGCATGTTTTATTGATAATTTTATTCACGTAGCCTACGTTTATATTTCGCAAGTTCTATATTTAAAGAAAAGCGTATAATATAATAATTAGTTAATGTAAAATATATCCTCTTGTAAATATTACATTTTGAAATTAAAATAAAGGTAATAAAACTCTGCATTGCGTAAGTTAAAAAAACACCAAATTGTATAATAATTAATAACGATATAATGTATAATCGTTGATAACGATAATTTATACATCTTTCTGTAAAAAGAGAAAGAAAGTTTCAAAAATTTCTATGCACATCTCTCCGTTATATATATAATTAATTAAATCAATATATAATTAAATCAAAATTATAAGCAATTTTGCTTGAGTACATTTTGTAAAAAATAAAACATTTGTCCTTAAAAAGTATATAATTTTTTGAATTAAATTGTTCATATTTTTTAATTTATATATATTTGCATTCCAAACAATTTCATTTTTATATACGACGTATATATATCACATTTCACATTGTCATATACTACTTAGAAATCATGAATTGATTTAAAAGATTTCTACAAACAACAATACCTATGTTCTTTTTTTAGAAATTGACTTATAAATTTATAATAATTTTAGCAGATTGTTGTATTAATATTGCCGTCTTTTATAAAATAGTAAATAAAATATTTAAAACAAAATATTTTCATATGATTCATTTTTTGTTAATACACATATAAATAGCACTAATATATACATATGTATATATATATATATATATATATATATATAGAACATTCTTTATATATGTAAATTATAAATTAATTAGAAATTAAAACAAAGAATTGTTAATACGAAAGTACAAGGAAAAATTTAGCGATTTTTTAAAATCACGTGCACATATAAAAAATGCCAGTAGAAATGGTTCACAATTGGTCAGACGACAACAAGAAAGAACGAAATGAAATGCCACAGCGGCGATTTCGATTGTGTTCAACGATCTTATAAAATCCAAAATTGATTCGACGTCTAGTATGATATTTTACATATAATTATTTTCCTGAGATAGATGCAAAAAACAGGATTAGAATTTCAGTCGCTGGTCATATTATATTTTCGGTAAGAAATTCGCGCAGAGATACATATACAAGAGTAATTATAATTATCATAATAATAACTGTATGTGTCATGTATAATATATATGTATATGTAACATTAGAGAAAATTGCATTTATGATAGATCATCAGTGAATGGGGAGAGTTTTACACGGCAAGTGCATTGGCGAGTGAGATGTGCAACGCGACGTCACGTGGCATGCGGCGATTGATTCGACGTCGATCATTTCAGACAGCTTCCACCGGGTGAAAGTATTTCACCCAATAGATTTTCCGACTTCCTCTTCTCCCTTTTTTATTTCTTGTCTTTATTCTTCTTCGGTTCTTTACGCGAATGTGAAAACTGATGAAATTTTGCACGTATTTTATCGCGATCGTTTCAGAAAATTGAATAACGATAAGATCGTACGATCGAATCATCGGCTCGTTTTCTTCGTTTTTCTTCCTTCTTTTCCATTTCCCTGTGTCCACGTGCCGATCAATGCACAGACTTCGAGACTATCTCGAAATATCTTTATAAACAACAATCATGGCGAATTATGGCACGATTAGGGAGGGACAATACACCTCGTAGAACGACACGAATCGAGAATTAGCGTCAGAGCCGCACGCCGCGCGATGGAAAAGCAGTCCCGAAGGAATGGAATCCGGTAAACGATTCGCCCGATTTTTGATTGACGAATCGATTACGAGATCGATTCATAGCCACATTATTTACTTCAGTGACCGATCGACAATCGTTTCGACGATCGAATAAATCCGCGATCGAATCAGAGCGGACGTCTACCGGCATTTCTTCCTCTTTTTTTTCGCTCCACTTCCTTCTTTTCCTTCTCGTGATTTCTGTCTAAGATTCCCTTCGCCGCGGATGAACGATCGGTTCGTCTTCTTCTCGGTTTATATGCACGCTTCCTTCTTCTTCTGCTGCTCTTCCTCTGCTGTTGGCCCCGATTACATGATTATGCACTTGCCTTTCTCGGCCCACGGATTGTTCTTCTTGTCGGGCGCGTGTATCAGCGGGTCATTCTTCTCATTCTCTTCCACGTACTCTCGCATTCTGCCAAGAGGAAGAAGAAGAGGGTCAGCCGCGCGTAATGCTGAAATTGCAATCTAGCAGCATGCGTTACTATTCTAACGGCTTACCTAAGGATGTGGCGCAATAAAACGATTGAGATTGTTTTAATGGAATTGATACTTCGTTTCGAAAGAAGAATAAGGTGCATAAATCCATTTTCAAGCATAAACTAAATTTGATTTAATGGAGATTTTAAAATGATACATTATAAACAGTGTTTGCTGGCATTTAGATAAAATTATCTAGATAATCATCTAGCTAAAGAAATGGATCATCTTTATCATTAATTAGATGAAGAAATACAAAGTATCTTTATCTTTATCTTAGATAAAAAATATATGTCATTTTATCTAAAAATTGTCTAAGATGACGTTTTCATTATGCAAAAAAGTTTTCCAGGCAAGCTTCCAAAAGTTCTGTCTAAAATATCTAAAATATATTTTTTATATTATTATTATTAATATATTATAAATATATTATTATTATATTATTAATATATTATAAATATATTATAAATATATTAGAAATATATTAGAAATATAAATTAATAAATAAATATTTATTATATCATTTATATACCTTTTTACTATTATAATATTTAAATATTCTTTAGGAAAAGAGAAAGAATATGTGTTTATGATTTTAATATCCCATTTATAATCTGCGTCACATTTTTTACAAATATTTATAGTCTTCTAAAATAAACAAAAATATCTAGATAATTATCCAGATTATCGCAATAATTATCTCATCTTTCATCTAGATTAAGTAAAAGCAAAATCATCTTTATCTCATCTAACAATAAGATAAATTTACGGGTTTTTATCTTTATCTTTATCTAGATAATTTTGAAATTATCTACAGCAAATACTGATTATAAATAATAAATAAACAATGTCAAAAATATATTGTGTATTCCCAGACAGCACACATGTCCAAAAGACATCTAAAAAAGACGACTTAAAGACGTCTTAAAGTCCTTTAAATGTTTTTAAGACATCTTTTGACCTTTTTGTGCTGTCTGGATTATGCATATGCGTATGCGTGCGTGTATGTGTGTATCAAAATCTATTTTAATTTCAATATCGCGCGTGTGCCTTGAAGTGACAGTGCCGGTGCATTATTTGCTCTCGCAAATCGCCCAAAGGCCAGGATCCGGCGTACATTTTCTAGAAATCTCCCAGCGAATGTTTCGCGAAATGCTTGTACGCGCGATACGTTACCTCCAATTTATTAGATCGCCGATAAGCTCGCACCTCCGCATGTTTTACGACCATTCACGACCGAAGCGAGTCCGACCGACCGATCTCGCTTCGACGCGACGATGTCGGTGAAAGGGACTCGGTTCAGGCTCGCGCACCCGATTTTGCGTTCAAGGAGATTCGTCGACAACTCGAAGCTTTCGGACTTTGTTGTTGCTAAACGCTCGCGAGAAGTATCCGCGGAATTTTTTCCCGCGGGATACACGAAAGCATGCGCGCGTGCAAAGAATTAACCCTTCACTGCATTTCATTGCATATAATTCTAATCGAAAATCACGTTCAACATTGTTGCTCAAGCCTCGAATGCGCTTTATTTTCGAATGCAGCAAACACGCAACATTCATATTAAATGATAATTGTTTATGTGAATGAACGATGGGTCGAACGTAAAAAACTTTTCGCATTTATTTTAAGGATGTTTTGTATCTATTTTTAAAATATTGAGAATTTAATGAAAATTATGATGACAGAATGTCCTTACATATGTTTAGAATCTTCGGTATAATTTTTAAATCGATTCACTAAAACGTTCACAAGTTATAAGGATTTTAATTTGCTCCGAATTAACATGTATTCTTATGGGAAACGTATAACCACGTCGATTCAAATGACAAAAACACATGGAAATAATATTCAGAATTTGTTTAAAATTTGCAAAAGTTTAGATACAGAGGAAATATTTGGTCAAATAATATTATACAAGTACTAACTGTTTAAAAAGATATTAAATATAATTCAATGAAGTTAGCCATGTATCTGTCACAAGGCGAAATTCTCTGCCAAAAATTAATCATTTCGATTAACAAAATTCGGAATATTTCAATAAAAACGCAATAAATATTAAAAAATACGTCTCTGCACTATAGCTAAGATCAAATTGTATATTCCACACAATTTCTTACTCAAAATACACCAAAAGTGGATATATTCGTCAATATTGATTTTTAGCTACTTTTTACTAGGATTGCACATACAAAACATCCTTAAAAAAGATTTTTAATAATTTTTTCATTAATTTGGAAAAACTGCAAAATATAAAAAAATTATTTATATTTAAATAATTTATATTTAAATATTATTTAAATAAAAGAATATATAATGACGAGTGAAAACATTCATTCGTCATTGCATTCACGAAAACATGGAAGCGACGTAATTTATTTAAGCTCCTATAATATTAGCGAAAGTACAGTTTCTTACACAATCTATAGCAGATAAAAGAATATTTTCTTCAAATCATCTTGACTTATTACACCGTTTTAAATAACGGTGTAATATAAATTTGATGTATTATAAGTTTGATTTCGTTAACACAATAATCGCATCTCGTGCTTGATTTATCAGAGTTCGTGCGGAAATCGCGAACTTTCACTTATCAGGTCCATCGCGCAATTTTTAAATGAGGGTGAATGACCTTCCCCCCAGCACCCGTGTCGTAATGTTATCGATTCACGATTCCGCGATGCCTATTATTTATGTCGTTTATATAATGAACGGCAGTCGTCGCGAAATCGGAGCGATTCTCGTCGCGACGTCGAGTAAGAGCCATCAAGCGAATCTATCGCAGAAATGAATGCGATTTTGTTCACTTCACGCTCGAATTCATAGTTTGTCTTTCGCATCTGTCTTTAAGGCTTGCTTGATGGAAAAGTCACAATTTAATGCACGAAGACCAAGAGTGAAATTATCGGTTAACAAAATGTCGAAGAGATATTTCAGTATTTCCAGTTTCACGAGACGTTTAAACTGTCAATATTAGATTTATGCTGTAACTGAAGAAGATGTATGTAAACGTTAATAATATTAAGTTTTTGATTTCTTCAAATTAATTTATAATTGGCAAACGCCTTTTTAGAACGAAAATGCAAAATATATTAATTTATATACAATATATATATCTTACATATCTTATATTTAATTTATCATATACGTCGTTATAAGTCTCTTTAAATAATATTTTTGAGAAAAAAAAAAAAAGAAAGAGAGAAGAGAAATTAATTAAATTATAAGAGAAAAAAATAAAATATAAAGACAACGATACTCTTAATACTCTTAATAACTACAGAATTTTCTCTCATATCTCTTTTCTATAAAATCGTTCCTTTCAATTACAGATTCTTTTAGACATTCTATTTGATTATTAACGACTGTTTATGTTATGTACAAGATCTCCGATCAGAGTATTGCGAAAACAAGAGCGTGTCGGAGGAACACGACCCACATTACGTACCGATGAATGCAACAGGCAAGAGGCGTCGGGTACAACCGAGTTTAAAGGAGGTCACATCCTAAATTCTCGAGAGCAACATCGGCGCATCGCGCGATCTCGAGCGATATTTCGCGTCCGGCAATTTCTGAGATTTATCGATCTCGACTCTTAATTAAAGCGAAATTCGATGTTGGTGAGAAAAACATCCAGTGTTTGCTGGTATCTAGATAAAAATATCTAGATAATCATCTAGATAAAGAAATGGATCATCTTTATCTTTAATTAGAAGAAAAATACAAAGTATCTTTATCTTTATCTTAGATGAAAAATATATGTCATCTTATCTAAAAATTGTTTAAGATGACGTTTTTATTATGCAAAAAAGTTTTCCAGGCAAGCTTCTAAAAATCTATCTAAAATATCTAAAATATATTTTTTATATTATTATTATTAATATATTATAAATATATTATTATTATATTATTAATATATTATAAATATATTAGAAATATAAATTAATAAATAAATATTTATCATATCATTTATATACCTTTTTACTATTATAATATTTAAATATTCTTTAGGAAAAGAGAAAGAATATGTGCTTATGATTTTAATATCCCATTTATAATCTGCGTCACATTTTTTACAAATATTTATAGTCTTCTAAAATAAACAAAAATATCTAGATAATTATGTAGATTATCGCAATAATTGTCTCATCTAGATTAAGTAAAAGCAAAATCATCTTTATCTCATCTAACAATAAGATAAATTTACGGATTTTTATCTTTATCTTTATCTAGATAATTTTGAAATTATCTACAGCAAACACTGAACATACCATAATGACGCGCTAAGGGACGAGCCAACAGGATCGCGGAAGTAGGCGCCGAGATCTGTGTTCCGGCGCGTACTTCCGCTTGCGAACAACGCGGAACCGTGAACGTTTCAATAACCGGTGACGCTTGGTTCTCGCGATGGTTTTTGAGGCGAAAGCAAAAAAAAAGTTTCCGCGGTCTCGCGAGACTTCTCGAACGGTGAAAGGCAGCAACAGCTCCCGTTCTCCCCTGCCGCGTCTCCCTCTTCCCTCCCCCCTCTTTCTCGTTTCTTTTTTCCTTCTTTCTATCTCTTGCCGATCGATCTAATCTCGCGCCCCAATAATGCGACAATACACGTTTCCAACCGCTTCCTGATCCTTCTCTTTGCTTTCGTCACGATGATGTAATAATGAACTTTGCAAAACACTGACGCAAGTGACCAAGGATGTTCGCATTTCGGCAGATTAGCGATATTTTTGCTCGCTTGATATCGTTTCAATGAATTTTGAAATATCGACATTAATAAAACAATCAAGAGGAAAATAATTAAATGTAATAATATAATAATTATAATAATATATTTATATAAATCAATACGAAGGAAGAGAGAAAATCTTTCCTTTCCAGAGTAAAGACCTGAGTAAATGTATAATGTATAAGTCTAACTGTAGATATTTCATATTCAAGAATATTTGAATGTATCTATATAAGTGAATAAGTATATGTGATTATTGTAAAATTATTATCTACGAAAAGAGATCACCAATTAAGGATGTTTTGTATGTACAATCCCAGCAAAAAGTAACTAAAAATCAATATTGACAAATATATCCACTTTTTGTATTTTGAGTAAGAAATTGTGTGGAATACTTATTACAATTTGATCTTAGCTATAGTACAGAGATGTATTTTTTAATATTTATTGCGTTTTTATTGAAATATTCCGAATTTTATTAATCGAAATGATTAACCTTCGGCAGAGAATTTCGCCTTGTGACAGATACATGGCTAACTTCATTGAATTATATTTAATATCTTTTTAACCAGTTAGTACTTGTATAATATTATTTGACCAAATATTTCCTCTGTATCTAAACTTTTGCAAATTTTAAACAAATTCTGAATATTATTTCCATGTGTTTTTGTCATTTAAATCGACGTGGTTATACGTTTCCCATAAGAACACATGTTAATTCGGAGCAAATTAAATCCTTATAACTTGTGAACGCTTTAATGAATCGATTTAAAAGTTGTACTGAAGATTCTAAACATATGTAAGAACATTCTGTACCAATTTTCATTAAATTCTCAATATTTTGAAAATAGGTGCAAAACATCTTTAAGTCCAATCAATCTTGTTTTGCGAACTTAATCTCGCAATAACTCGGTCGTTCGATCATTAGTCGACGCGCGACACGCGAGGGATATAATTAGCTCGATGATTTGCAACGAATGTGAATAATAATCCTTACGCGATCTCTTTTTCTACGCCCTTTCGTTTAAAGGGTGACGAAACCGCGAACGTTACGTTAAGAGACGACCGCCAATATCGTCTAATTAGACTCAATTAGATCATCGATCATCGTTGCGTTGAGTCATCAGTAATCGCACCCGCGTCAGGTTTCTTGCACCTTTCCGATACCCTCATCTCGCGCATATATACATATAATCGCAGCTTTATGCACCACTATGTGTCTCTGAAAGTGATCGTGGCGCGAAAACGCGACGGGCACATACCGCCAAGTATGTGTCCAAGGAGATCCTGTCCCTCCATGTACACATAATACGGGGACGCGAGCATAATTCAGCCTTGACTGCCAGCAATCTGCACGACTACGTATATACGCGTTGCTTTATATTTTTATATATAGCGTGCGAGAGATAATTTATTTGGGAAAAGGCACTTCGCCGAGAATCCGAAACGCACCCACACGCTTTGATCGGTTTTATAGGTAATTTTAATTTTGACACGTAAAACGAGACTTAACATTAATCTCATTTCGCGCGTGACAAATGAGATCTCCGTAAGCTGCATCGATATACAATACTATGATGTAATTTATTCCGAGATTTCTGAGCGATTGGCCTTTTTACAACATAGGAGTACATATGATGCACATGCGAAGGACAAAAATTACAATCCAAGTAAGCTAATTGTAAATATTATTTTTGATTTGATTAAAAATAATTATTTTGTATACATTAAAAATTAATGGACAATGATCAAAAATCAAATCTTTTTATCTCATTTTTACTATCATGACGAACGAATTGTCGGAGCAGAAATAATTGAATAACAACAATCAATTTAATATCAACAATACAACACTATATATTATATAAATTTATACGCGAACCAATTTATATCTAGGGAAAGATATTCTATGATTACGTATTGAAAATTACATCGTCGATTATTAGGGAACTAGGAATTGCTGTTACTGTTAAATAGCTTCCGCATATCATATCTTGTACATAAAGAATTTCTAAAGTATTTAAAGAAGCTTGTAATGAGACGACGCCCGTATTATAAAAACTAAATGCACTATCTCGAGATTACGATTGCATAATGACGGTTCTTATTCGTTGAATAAATTATTATACTATATATACTTAAATTATTAAAAATAGATATTAATTATAGCATGAGATAGAAATTAAAATATAAATCATTATAAAATATACTAACAATAAAATGGATTGAATTGTGCTTTATAAATATATATGACGTTATAGTGAAACGTTATAGCTTAGAATATTTCAAAAATACATAATAAGGATATATATTTTATGTGGCATATGTAGATAAAGATATGAAATTATAATAAACAAAATATAAATGTAAAAAATGCTTATATTGTATTTAAATTATTTTATTAATGAGAAATAAATGAATGATTCATTTAATAAAATAAAAATGAAATAAAGTAAATTTGAAAAAACTAACACTATTTAAAGATATATCATTACAAGACTAAAATGAATTAATTTTGTTTAATTATGGCTTTCTGGAGGGTTAATGGTTCATGAAAAAAATTTCGTTTTTCTTTCAAATAAAGCAGAGGTTTGAAAAATGCAGAACTAATGTTTTAAAATAAATATTAAATAAACTTCTATACAGTGTTTCCTTAAAAAAATCATATATTTTCAACACTAACAATTAAACTTGAACCATGAAAAATAGTGATTGTTTTAATATTTAAATTAATAATTATGAGAATATTGAATATCTTCGAAAAATATAAATGCGAATTATGTAAATATATGTAAATAATTTATTTCTAAATAAATTTTAATAAATGTAAAGAATTAATTAAAAATTTCATGCAACGATATTGAATAATGACAAGAAAAAAGTTACAAATTTCTGTTCAATTTTCAATCTGCCAATAAAAATATCATTTCAAATTCACAGAATGAACTCATAATAAGTAGAAATTACAAAATTTCCGAAACCTATGATCTTTGAAGACGGGCAACATTTTCTCGGGCGTCTTCTCGATGCTTTCGGAAAAACTCGTAAATAATAATAATATGTAAGCAGGGAAAAGCAATAAACAATAATCGACGATGATTCGGCTGGCGATGCACTTACGCCGCGATGCTCTTTGACAGAGGCCACCGTTCCATGGACGCCTGGTACTTCATGTTCTCGATCTGCTTCTTCAGTGCGTCCTTGTCCATGGTGGCGAGTATACTGGGATCCATGATTACAGCCGCACCCCCCTTGTCGCAATCGGGAACAGAGTAGCGCGTGCGCTTCCACAGGAAAATCAATAGGACGGCTGAAAGTGCCTATAAGGTGGTCCGTCTGTAACGCAAACGATGTTTCATCGGGAACAATAGAAAGAGACTTCGCCATGAGAGCACTCGAGGGATTGTCATAGTTATCTGGCGGTAAATCGTAAAACACCGCGAATGTAAGCCGATCTGACTCATTTGATGCGAACAAACGCCAATCGAATGGGAACGCGATTATTAAGATAGGAGAGGCACGTGTAATCAGTATTGCATTTGCATTTCAGGGCTAACTGATTCAACGCAAGTCCGAAGAATAGTAGAATACAAATGTATATATCCTTTGACCTTTAAATTGCCATCAAATCCCTTTATTTCCTTTTCTCAATTTAGCATTCTAATAATGCAAAGAAACAGAGATATTTAGATTGATTCGTGTAAATATATAATATTTATTTCATTAATATTTTATTAACATTATATTATTTTTATATTTTATACACAGTAAAAAATTTTGTGTTAAATTTAACATATTTCACATGTCCCAATTTATCCACTCTAATTTGAATGTTAATTTAACAGAAGGCAAATATGTAAATAAATAACACAAGTAATATGTTTAAAAATTAACACGAAAGTGTAACACTTAAACTTTATTTAAATTAACATATTTATAATATTAAATTTAATTAAAAGAAAATGTTATTCTTACATTTTTATGATAAATAACAGAAGAGATATGCCGATCTAACATATGGAAACTGTTATAGACAGAAAAATAACACAACTTATTTGTTCATTTTAACATATAACATATTTCATCAAAAATTCGTGCATTTACATATTAATTGTGTTGTTTTAACTCTTAGAAACGGTGAATATTAACTCAACGCAGAAATGTCAAAATAACGCAACGATAATATGTTACATTAACATAAGAGTATGTTAAAAAAAAGTATTGTTAACACAAAAATTTTTACACGAGAAAATTTTAACAGAAATACAAAATGTTTTTTACCGTGTAGGTATTTCATATTATTATTCAACATTTATAGAAATAATCATTAATAATAAATCTTTATATAAAATTCATTATAAGTCTCTTTATATAAAATAAAATCTTCATTATAAAAATAAATCTTACGAGCTAATCTCTTTCATCGCAACATTGATCCACTGACCTTATTTAATCATGATATCGCATGTTTGCGTTGTTATTAACGTTGTTAATTCCATTTTAATAACGCACTTTTGGATTATCTCATTTAATTATAACCTTTGATAGATCACGTATCATTGCAGTGTTCGATTACAATCTTGCGTTCGTGATTTACCGAGTTTTAGTATGATTCAGAAGGTAATCTCGCAGAAAAAGGCTTTTGCATGATAGCATTCGCGATCATTCATTCCACCATTAGTCATTAAAACTCCGCAATGCTGTCCGTCGTTGGAATTATCAGGCACATTAATATCCAATGTCGTAGTCCATTTTGAAAAACCGGTAGCTTCTAAGCTTTCGTCCATAACCGTGTTCCAATCGCCCTCTTCGAAAAGATCATGTATACCAAGCCATGCTTCAGATACTTTATTTTCTTCCAAAATGCGTATTAATATTTTTTCTTCCGAGTTAGAGTTGATAATAGCCAAGTGACCTATGTCGATAGACGTATTAAACCCGATAAAATTACTTGATTATTTAATTTATTTCTAACGCGAGCCTTAAAAATCGATTACACAGGCCTGCGAGGTTTTTTTCTTAAGATGCAAAAGTGATTTCCGACGTAATTTTCTGCGCTGAATCTGAATCTGGCCGCCGAATTTGCGTAGCACGTCACGTTTTTGAGTAATTTGTAATTGAATAGCTCAAAAATCACTATTTTGGCCATTGTGAATTTATTGTGGGGAAATCAAATTTTTTGAAATATTTTTGCCAATGGCATCGTGTAATACTTACTTTCGCCTTTCAAATCCACTTTCGATTACCGCTGCACAATTTTTTTTCGCTGAGATATATAAGTATGACATTGTAAGAAAATTTACGTTAAAGAAAATTTATATAGACATCACTATGGTAGATACATGATCTTGAAATTTGAAAAGACTGACATATGTCAGATTCGGTTGGCCAAAAAAATATTGTAAAGAAATGTCTAATACAGTTGTTACACATTTTGATAAATTTTTCTAAATTTTATGCCCTTTTATTGCGATTCCATTCGCCATATTGGATGCGTCATTTTTAATTTCAAAAGGTGATAGAAGGTATTTAAAAATGTATATTTTTACCCTAATTTTGATTCGTAGTGAGATAAAGAGGTGGCACGGCTGATTTAAAATGGCTTATTAAATCCCTATGCATGACCAGTCTTATAACTTGTATATCTGAGCGAAAAAAAATCGTGCGGCGGTAATCGAAAGTGGATTCGAAAGATGAAAGTGAGTACTATACGATGCCATTGACAGAAATATTTCAAAAAATTTGGTTTACTCACAATAAATTCATGAAATTGGTCAAAATAGCGATTTTTGGGCTATTCAACTACAAATAACTCAACAATCTGACGTGCTACACAAATTTGGCGGCCAGATTCGGATTCAGCGCACAAAATTACGTCAAAAATCACTATTGCATCTTAAAAAGAAATTTTGACTCTCTTTTTTGCAGGCCTGTGTTATCGATGACGCGCGAGCACGAATAAAATTTATTAGTCAATTTTGGTACGTCTTCACGAGACAAAAAAATTACAAAAATGCGACATTCAACGATCCACTTCATTAAATCCTTGTCAAGAACTCACCCCCTTCTTGAATGCAAATTCTACGAGCCTTGTTCCATGACAACTGGCGAATATGAAGTTTATGAGCACCTATGCCAGGTGTAATAAGGTAATCGTTGCCTGCTTTTTCTATGAGATTGACATTATTTTGCATTTTCCATTGGTTCGGTCCATAAATATAAATAATTTGCTGTGCTGGAGACAAGTTTCCATTCAAACCTGATAATAATTTACCTGGAGCTGTAAAAATATCTATAGTTTCGCAAAATGAAATACTTCTCTTCATAACGATTATTTATTATTTTCGTATTACTAAAAAATTTAATGTAAAAACTAAGAAAAAAGATTTTTTTTTACAATTTAATATTTAAGATGAATAACAGCATCTGCTGCAATCTGCTGATGTAATAATAAATATTTATTTTTCTTATTCTCACTTTCAATAAATAGAGAAAACGAAATATTGCAATGATTTTCTTAAATTCACCTGGCAAGTTGACCGCTGTATCAGTTGTAATTGATGATTCCAACGCGAGACCACATGTTGTTATATATAAAAGCATTAGCAACGTATATCGTAACATAATTATTGCGTTATTTATTATGTTAACAATATGAATACTCGGGAATAAATGATTCGAATGACAATAAAATGTGCTTATATATATTATATGATAAGATAAGCTATTATCATAGGCGGCGAAGTATAATTTGCTTTCTTAACGGAATGCTTCACGAACTTAACTTTTTAATAAGGATATATTTATAATATAATAGATACTTGAAATGTTTAGCTTTTTAAAATTTTTTTAATTTAAAATGTTTTAATTTATTCGATTTAATATATACAATATAACAATTTACTTTATTTGAACAAATTCAGACAAGATTTATGGATATATGTTCAGTAACAAAAATTTCCGATTAATTTCATCCAATTATCCCCATTTATCAAAAATTTAATTTAAGATTTATATAATTTTCAGGTTAGTTAATATTAAAAGTTTAAAAAAAGTATAAATATATATGCTCATCACATTAACATTTTCGCCGAATTAAAACTTTTGTTTAGAAAAAAAATTATAGAAAATATGAGAATGTATAAAATTTGCAAAAGAATGTGTAAAAAGAAACATAATATATATTATATATAAAATAAGATATTTTACAAACAAAAAAATTTTATTAAATTCTATAGAAATGCCTCCATTGCCTCTCATGCCTGATTCAACACAGGAAATATAATAGTTATCAACTTGAGTAATTGACAAGAGCAAGTTATCGCAACAGGATTTTCGTTGAAATTTATATGAATATATCATATGACTAACGTTTATTAATTTGGAACAACATCATCCTGTGATTAGAAAGAGTTGAGTTATTTATATAAATACTAAATAAAATATTATATAAATATAATTAAATTGTATTAATAGTCTTTTTTTACAGCAAAAAATAATACTACTTATTTTCAATCAATTTATAATATACATATATTATAAATTCAATAAGAAAATACAATAACAAATTCAATAAGATTGAAGAATAATAAAAAAAATTAACTGATAAAAAATGTCGTTTATTGTGACGTTTTATATCAATTAAATAAAACTAAATATAATTAAATTGTTATTCTGTTTAAGATTAACATAGTTTGATGTTTTTTTATCTATGTGTATAAAATAATTCTTTTGAAGGAATGCATCATAAATTACATTCCAGATTGAAAATTCGAATGTCACTATAACATGAAATTTAATACACAAGAATAAAGTAATAATAAAATAAAGTTTCGCATTTTATGTAACGCTATTATCCTATTGTGCTAAAGATACGCAAAATGGAGATGTTTAACATACAATTTTTAAGTTTTTATGCCAAATTTTACCAATTTAAAACTTATTATATAATAATAATTATTATTTTTTAAGATCAGGCTTGCAATCGCAGCTATTTAATTAGCTAAAAGTAATGAGAAATATATAACGAAACACAAATTAAAATATAATACTCACCTTGATGGAGGACGGAGAAATTCTGCGGCGAGGAGTCCGTTAGCAGGTTTCAAAACTCGCTTACGGAAGCCTCGGAAAATCTGGACAATCTAATTTAAAGATAATTTCTCCGCCACTATCATCAATCGCCATCGGTGCTACATGCACTCACAAACAAACACATTCCATTGAACTTAATGTAAGGCAAATACATATTTTCAATGACTGACTTTTAAATATATAGGATATATTACAGATTCCATTGAAAAGCATATACATATAAGAAATTGTGGCTAAATGTTTTAAAAATATTTTTATTAATAGAATATTTATTCTTTTGTTTTTATATTTTTATATATATCATTAAAAAATATAATTATTAAATGAGTATGACTTATTGCATATTATATTATTTATCAGAAATATTATTTATTGTATATAAAAAAATATTTTGTAATTATACATTATATATTTACAATTAACACTTACATATTTTTTCTTAAAAACAACTGTGTATTTTCTTTACACCAATTGATTCCTCTCATTATTTTGTACATAAAAGTATTACGGTAAGATAATCGAAAAATGAATATTTTACTAGATATTTTATGGTTTATTTAAAATTAAGATATTAATTTAAGCCTCATAACTCGAAAAATACTCAATGAAAAAATACTTTATTATAGTGTTTTTGAAAGCTCTCAAGATAAGCTACAAGAATAAGTAATAAAAAATAGAGGTTTCAATTTAAAAAATTCAATGTGACCTTGATATAACCTTAACAACGCCATCCAAGGTCTAACTAATATTTCTATCTTCTTTCCCTCTCAGAACCAAACAACTTTTTTCTAAAAAGTTTTCTTCTAAAACTTACAGGTTTGGAGATATTTAAGTGGATTAAAATAGTCCACTCTGTATACAGGGTGGCCCATTTTAATTTCCCCAGCCAAATATTTCGGAAAATAATGAAAAATCAAAAAAATGTCAGACAAAAGTTGTATGGCTTGAAGGGGACCATCAGATAGTGGCAATGATTTGACCTTGGAGAGTCATTTGAAGATGACGTAAAGGTAACCTTCAATTTCTTAAATGGAACTCCCTATTTTTTATTACATATTCGTGTAGCTTATCTCGAGAGCTTTCCAAAACACTATAATAAAGTATTTCTTCATTGAGTACTTTTCGAGTTATGAAATCATTTCTTAATTTTGTATAAACCGTAAAATATCTAGTAAAATATTCATTTTTCGATTATCTTGCTTTAATACTTTTATGTACAAAATAATGAGAGAAATCAATTGGTGTAAAAAAAACACATAGTTGTTTCAAAGAAAATATATGTAATTTGCAATTAACAATTACATTATTTTTTCTCTGAAACAACTATGTGTTTTTTTTACACCAATTGATTTCTCTCATTATTTTGTACATAAAAGTATTAAAGCAAGATAATCGAAAAATGAATATTTTACTAGATATTTTACGGTTTATACAAAATTAAGAAATGATTTCAAGCCTCATAACTCGAAAAGTACTCAATGAAGAAATACTTTATTATAGTGTTTTGGAAAGCTCTCGAGATAAGCTACACGAATATGTAATAAAAAATAGGGAGTTCCATTTAAGAAATTGAAGGTTACCTTTACGTCACCTTCAAATGACTCTCCAAGGTCAAATCATTGCCACTATCTGATGGCCCCCTTCAAGCCATACAACTTTTGTCTGAAACATTTTTTTGATTTTTCATTATTTTCCGAAATATTTGGCTGAGGAAATTAAAATGAGCCACCCTGTATATACAGCGTGATTCATATAAAATGACCGATGTGAATATTAACTAAAGTTGAAGAATTATGAAAAAATTTTTATATTAAAAGATGTTTGATACAGAAGGGGACATCGTACGATACAAACGATATTTTTATAGATGAAGGCATTAAGGAGATTTCAAGATCAACTTAATTTTTCTAAATGGAACCCCCTATTTTTTATTACATATTCTTGTAGCTTGCCTCGAGAACTTTCCAAAAACACTATAATTAAGTTAGTTTTCATTAAATACTTTCCGAATTATGAGGCTTGAAATCATTTCTTAATTTTACATAAACCGTAAAATATCTTATAAAATATTCATTTTTCGATTATCTTATTTTAGTACTTTTATATACAAAATAATAAAAGATCAATTGGTATATAAAAAAACATAGTAGTTGTTTTTAAAAAATAAATATGTAATTGTTAATCGCAAATTACATATTTTTTAATTATATGTAAAGCAGTATCCTCTAAAAATAAATAGTTTAAAAAAGATTATGTATAAATAAATAATAACTTTCTTTTTAACTTTTAAACAAATATTTAATACAAAAATTATATAATTTACAAGAAAAGATATTTATAGATTAATTTCATAAAATATGTAATAAATAATAATATATAATAAATAATATATATAATATATAATAAAATAAAAATCTAATTTATATATAAATTAGATTTTATTAAAATTATATACACCGTGGCCCATTTTAATCGACGCACCTGAATATCTCCGTTGGTTAGCCGAATACAAAAAAATTGTTCAGACAAAAGTTGTATGGTTTCAAGGGGGACATAAGATGGTGTCATTAGTTTGATCTTGAAGAGCCACCTGAAGGTCACGTGAAAGTCAGCTCCAACTTTTTAAATGGGACACCCTATATGCTTTCGCATATTCTTGTAGCTCATCTGAAGAGCTTTCTTCAAATACTTTTATGTACAAAATAATGAGAAGAATCAATTGGTGTAAAGAAAACACATAATTGTTTCGAACAAAATAATGTAATTGTTAATTGCAAATTACATTTTTTTATTCGAAACAATTATGTGTTTTCTTTACACCAATTGATTCTTCTCATTATTTTGTACATAAAAGTATTAAGGTAAAATAATCGAAAAATGAATATTTTACAAGATATTTTACGGTTTATGTAAAATTAAAAAATGATTTCAAGCCTCATAACTTGGAAAGTATTTAATGAAAACTAACTTAATTATAGTGTTTTGGAAAGCTCTTTAGATGAGCTACAAGAATATGTGAAAACATATAGGATGTCCTATTTAAAAAGTTGGAGCTGACCTTCATGTGATCTTCAGGTGACTCTTCAAGATCAAACTAATGACACCATCTTATGTCCCCCTTGAAACCATACAACTTTTGTCTGAACAATTTTTTTGTATTCGGCTTACCAACGGAGATATTCAGGTGCGTCGATTAAAATGGGCCACGGTGTATAATTGTGTGTTAAACACAATATTGAAATATTTTATAAAGATATTAATTATTGTAAATATTTTATTACAAGTTTTAAATATTTAGAAAAAATAAAATCTCTGTATATGTGTATGTATACGCACACGTGCATATAAACTTCAGTACTTCATACGTATTATATTTATAGTACTTCATACGTATTATATTTATAGTACTTCATACGTATTATATTTCACAATAATATAGAATTATTATCGCGAACAATTAATTGCAGTAAATTGATTGTTGTAAAAAATAAATATTAAATTAATATATGTATAAAATACATTTAATTAATTACAAATTACTTACTTAAGGGTTGCTTCACCGTTACTGGGTGCTTCCTTGAGTCTCCTCCTTCTCCTCCTCTTTCTTTTTTTTTGCTGTTCAGTTTTGACACTGACACAACACTTATTGTCTATGACTGATTCACTCGCGAAAGTATGATTAATTAGTCGCGCACGCAATAATTATCAAAATATGACTCTCGCGTATGACATGCGTTTTATTACTTTATAATGGAAATATAATGCAAAGACTCGCACGAAAAATATGATCCGTTGTCAATCAAAAATATGCAAACAAATTCACAAATTATATATATACCATGGCACACACAGTACTACTTCTGTTATTAATCAATATAAAAATACGCGGTTAAATATAATATTACTCGTTAATTAAACGCGTCACAACATTATTCGATGCGGAGCCGATCCGTATCCGTTTGATCGTTAATATTCTGTTACCAAAAATTTCGTAAAACGAGGTACCTGTATCGACAACTTCACTTGAACTCAACGCAATACTACGTGAATCGAATCAATGAGTTTGTTAAAATACCATGGACTATTCGGAAATCAAACTATAGTTAAATTTTAACAATGTATAAAGAGGAACATTTTTCTATTTTCAAGAATTCCGTAAAATACACGTATTATTAATAAGCAGATACATTAGACCTTTTCGTTATTTTAATCACTCGACGATCCATGTAATTGATTCGTGAAAATGACGAACATATCACACTTAAATAATAATCGAAAATTTTTCAAAGCACACGAAGCAATAATATTTTACTCGAGCGTATTTATAAAAATAATATATAAATAAATAAATATATTTAAATAAAATATATCATGTGGATTATAGTGGTAGCATGAAACAAAATCGCACTTTTAATTTTCGAACAAAGAGCATCTGACGTTGCTAACTTTCTCCCTCGAATTTTGCCGCGTGAACGACAAAGTCATTACATACGAGGTTCTCAAAAAGTACCCGGAAACGGTCGAATATCTCGAAAACAAAACGTTTCTGAAAAAAATGTTCTCTCTCTCTCTCTCTCTCTCTCTCTCTCTCTCTCTCTCTCTCTCTCTCTCTCTCTCTCTCTCTCTCTCTCTCTCTCTCTCTCTCTCTCTCCTCTCCCCCCTCTGCCCTCTCCCTCTCTTCCCCGCTCCCTCCCTCTCCCCCTCTCTCTCTTTCCCTCCACAAAACTTCTACGAGCTGTCATAGCATGGCTGTGTTCCAAAATTCACTGCCAGCGCTGTTACGTCATAAAGCATGCTATCAACAGCGTTCCATTTTATGAAAGCGTGCTGTAAGTATGAATACGGGACGCTACTTCAGTGCTGGCAGTATTAGCAATTGAGTAATCCATTTAACTTAGAAGTATGGACAGGCGACAAAAATTGTTGATTGGAATGTATTTAAATTTAATACTTGAAGAATCAAATGAAGACTCAAGCGATGAATCTGATTCGGAAGAAGTTATAAATTTAATAAAAAATTATTTCGAACGTTCCTAAGTACGTTCCAAAAATTATTTCGAACGTTCCAACGTACCTAAAGTTGTGTAATAATTATATCAAAAACATAGTTTGACAATGTACAGATAGTGATTTTAAAAGTCATTTTCGGTAAGTAATTTATTTGATAAATTATTATTGATTATTTAATCAATATTTTTGTGAAAAAATATAATTTATAATTTATAATGTTATAAAAGTTCCATGTTGTTTTAATTTATTTTAATGTGTTTTTCAGTCTTAGTCGATCAACGTTTATATTTTTGTTGGAATTATTAAGTTCACAATTAATAAAACAATCCGAAGGACGAGGTAGACATATCATCAATCCAGAAAAAACATTATTGTTAGCAATATGGATGATGGCAACTTCTAATTCATACAGGTAAGTTTAATTTTGGATAAAAAGATAGTGCCAATGACCAAAATCGGGACATAAGATGTTTTAAAGATTATACAGCGTGTGTCAAAAGTTCCGGGACGGCTGGATAATTTGAAAAATACGCATCACAGAGGAAAATGACCTAGACAAAAGTTGTAGGATTTTTCTCGGGCAATCCGATGGTGACCTTAGATTTGACCTTGGATAGTCATTTGAAGGTCACATAAAGATTACCTTCAATTTCTTAAATGGAACCCCCTATTTTTCATTACATATTCTTGTAGCTTATCCCGAGAGCTTTCCAAAATACTATAATTAAGTACCTTTTTATTAAGTACTTTCCGAGTTATGAGGCTTGAAATCATTTCTTAATTTTGTATAAACCGTAAAATATCTAGTAAACTATTCATTTTTCGATTATCTTACCTTCATACTTATATGTACAAAATAATGAGAGGAATCAATTGGTGTAAAAAAAACACATAGTTGTTTCTAAGAAAAAATATGTAATTTGCAATTAATAATTCCATATTTTTTCTTAAAAACAACTGTGTTTTCTTTACACCAATTGATTCCTCTCATTATTTTGTACATAAAAGTATGAAGGTAAGATAATCGAAAAATGAATGGTTTACTAGATATTTTATGGTTTATGTAAAATTAAGAAATTATTTCAAGCCTTATAACTCAAAAAGTACTTAATAAAAAGGTACTTAATTATAGTGTTTTGGAAAGCTCTCGAGATAAGCTACAAGAATATGCAATGAAAAATAGGGGGTTCCATTTAAGAAATTGAAGGTAATCTTTATGTGACCTTCAAATGACCATCCAAGGTCAAATCTAAGGTCACCGTCGGATTGCCCGGGAAAAATCCTACAACTTTTGTCTAGATCATTTTCCTCTGTGATGCGTATTTTTCAAATTATCCAGCCGTCCCGGAACTTTTGACACACGCTGTATATTTAAAAAGTATATAACAAGATGTAATAAATACATAATATTTAATATTTACTTATTAATTCTATTCTATTATTAATTTTAGGAGCGTTGCTAATCGATTCGATGTAGGAAAAGCAATAGCTTGGAGATGTGTTCAGAAAGTTGTGAATGCATTATATTCACATCTTAACACATTTATTACATGGCTAGATAGTAGAAGACTATTTTCAGCTCGTGTCCATATATGTCGTAAACAGAAAGAAATAGAATATAAAATGTTAAACAGATAAAATATAATATATATAATAAATATAATACATGTTCTTTTGTTTGAAAATTATTTTTTTAAAGGATCATTGAAAAATTGTAGTCGACCAAACTAGCCAAAAAATTGAGTTTATTAATATGACGTTTCGACCATATGGTTGTGGTCCTTATCAAGTATACGCTAGAAAAGATTTATAAATAAATAAATTAACGATTTGAATACATAGCAACGCACGAAAAATTAAAGTGTGAAAAGATTTTTACCGATGTAATAATAATCAGAAGGCAAGCATTAATGGTAAACATGTAAAACAACGCAATCACATAATACAAAAAACGTTATTTAACTAGATTCAAATTTGAGAGAAGCTGATGCGTCCGTGTGAGACTTCGTCAAGAAACTAAACGTAACCAGAGGAACAACGATACTAAGTGATCTTTATAATTTTGTCGTAAATATTATTTAAACTATCTGTGTCTTTCTGTAGATTGATTAGATTCTTAAATCTCTTGATAAAGAACATCTCAGCTATCTCTCTTTTACGAACGTACTTTTCATTGTGCAAGATATTAGGTTTCGACCAATCAAAATCGTGTCCGGATTCCAATCTGTGTTTGCTAATAACGGAGTGATTAGACTCATGTAACTTTATATTGTTACAATGTTCTTTCACTCAGGTCCGCAAATGTCTTTTTGTTTGCCCAATGTATGACAGATTGCAATCATTACAATTTAATTTGTATACAACACTTGTCTTGTTGTGTAAGCTGTCTTTACCACATCTAATTAAGTTATTTAGTTTTTTTGTTACTTTGTAGACGACGTTGAAACCACTGTTTCGTAGAAGACGGTAGAGATCTTGACTCGTATTCTCTACGTATGGTATGGTGATAAAATGAGTTTTATCTGGATGAGTAGACTTGGCGTCATCAGTATTATTGCGGTCGCGGTTGTTTAAAAAATTGATTCTTTTTCGAATGTGTCTATGAATAATGTGTTCAGGAAAACAATTATTAATTAACGAACGTATCATATATTAACTTAATATTTTCTTGTTTAAAGCAGTCGTCAGATAGTAAAATGGCATGGTCAACTAAATTATAAATAGTATTAATTTTATATTTTAACAGGTGATTCAAGTAAAAATTAATATATTTACCGGACCATGTAGGTTTCCTAAACCAATTGGTGATGAGTTTTGTTCCCAACCGAATGATTTTTACATTGAGAAAACTCGAAGAATCAATTTCTTTCTCGTATGTGAATCTTAAACGTTCGTGATAGTTATTAAAAATGGTTAAAATATCGTCAATTTTTGTGCGTGGTACAATAGTAAAAACATCGTCTACATATCTGTAATACATGGGAACGGCAAAGTTCAGTGAGTTTAAACATTGTGTCTCCAGATCGTCCATCACCATATCTGCCAAGATAGGTGAAAGTGGAGAGCCCATGGGTGTGCCGAAGATCTGTTCATAAAACTGTCCGTTAAAGGAGAAGCAAGTTAAATCTAAAATCAAGTCAATTGCAAATAAGAAATGAGATAAGTTAAATTTTGTATTTTTTGCAATGTCGTCCCAGCGCTTTTTGATGGCATTTTCAACTAACTCCTTTGGAACGTTTGTAAATAACGAAGTCACAAAAAGCATAATTTTTACCGACCGATCCACAACCAAGTTCATGAGCACGCCGATAGATGGCCAAGACGCCACCTCCCACTACCGGAAAACACCCCCACTGGTTCAACCCCTTCCATCCCCGCACAAACCGAGGGACCTCGGGTCAGTCCCGGGCTGGGTGATTTTTTCGCGCATGCGCAGTAGTAATTACAGGAAAGCAACGGTGTATCAGATAGCGGATTATGGACGCCAAAGTTTTGGCGGGGAAGTTGAGCTCGATGATGCTAGAAAGAAGTCCGAAGTCCCGAATGAATGTTATAGTATTTTAAAGTACAGCGAGAAAAGTGATTAGTGAATTGAAAGTGTGCCGTTGGTCGCTCGTAAAAATTTTCTAAAAACTTTCCTTCAGAAATGTATTTAAGGGCGACGAGTGACACACTTTTTACTTCTCCTAGATACTTCGTTAACGCCGCGTTCGCGGCGCATGCGCGAAAAAATCACCCGGTCTACCATCACTGGTCAATCCCAAAATCCGACACTTCTCGAGCGCCGAGCGAGCCACTTCTCTTCCAGAAGTGCTCCTCAGATTTGCGGTACTAATTCCATTGCGTTACTATTTCCGATCGCATTACTATTTCCGATTGCGTTACTATTTCCGATTGCGTTGCCATTTCCGATAGCTTATAGTGCTTCTACCTCTAACTCAATTCTGACTGCAATACTATCACCGTCTCATATTACCATATCCAGCATCCGCGCCGATAGCTCTCGAACCGACTCAAAATTGTAAATCCAGCATTGTAAGTAACTAGAACATAATTGTGAATTTTATATAACGTTGTCCATTGAATACACCTAGTCCCTGTTCGCATCTCCTTCAACAATTTAGCGCAAACCTTACATCATTTACAAACCTGGTTTCGATCATCAGAGACTAGTGGTAATACGGTATCTACCTCACGGCATGGGTATCACTGTCTTTTAAAGTCCGCCGTTTGGTGCTAACACTCAGTACATCCGGCACTCCCATCCTCGAATGAACTCCGGTGCGAACAATCGCACGTTGTTCCTGACATCCATCATAGTCCCCATGATCGAACTCAGCGCAGCTACGTTAATACTTATATCTTTTCTGTAGATGCCAAAGGCAAGGAGAGGCGGACATTTATACCACGCGCGCAAACTATATTATAACTTTAAATACGACCCCATCAAGGAAGACAGCGAATTACTAAAGACGGAGCGTGTGGATTTCGATATCGAATAGACTTCGACCCGCGTCTCGCGATAAGGAAAATTAAACCTCTAAGGAAGGATATCCGGATCAAAACCATAGAATATTTCCCGTGGCCACGTGGATTGAAAATAGCAGATACCCGACCGTCTCTACCACTCCTGGAATACGTGCCGGGAGACCCAAGGAAAATCTGGTAAAATTCGCTCCAAATTCGCGCGGAAGTCCTGCACACCGCGTATCTCCCGCGTAGCACCCCCCGAACATTGGGGATCCGCGGATCAACCCATTATATTGGATTAATATCCACGTGGTTGGCGTAGCGAATTCCGAACACGACACAATACGCTCGAACAGGAATATCGAAACAAAAGGGACTCGTTAGATTTCACTTTTATTGCCCTCAGGCGAAGCAACCCTTTTTTTTATTGCCCCTAAGGTCTCCGTTACCTGACCTTCCAAATTTTTCCTTGTTTCAAAGGATCAGAAGAACTATTTCCAAGAAATATTTACTGTATGAACGTTCAATTTCTCCCTAATGTTATAAATTATTAACTGTAAATAAATTGTTAAAGCTTACCAGTCTCGTTCGTCCTTACTAATTTTAAAGATTATAACACCTCTATCTACATGAGTCACGAAACCGCGTGTGACGAAGTGCACCGTAGGATCCAAAACATCCACTGCACGTATATCTCCGGATTCGCTCATCGAATCCATCTGACCCCCTACTGTGCTACTTGTTTCGTAAACTCTAATAACATCATCAAAGATTCCTACGCGTATTTTAACGTTCACCTCGCCATAGACAGCACTACCTACAACGGAGTTCACTGTACAGTCTGCTCTCCCAACCTAGCGAATTTCTTCCCATTCGATTGCGACAAGTGCATCGCAGCATACATTAATTTTGCTATAGAACTAAGACAGCAAGGCATAAACTATTATTCACTCCCGGATCCGATCAAAGTCTTCGTAGACGGTACGATCTCCGCAAGTTTTACCTTGCGAGATTTTCCATGATCGGCAAGGGACTGGTAAATCCCCGAGTCGATAACCACCATCGGTCGGTAATATCATTTACCCATATATATATATATACAGGGTGTCCGTCGATTTTCGACCTAAATGAAATAAAGAAGTAGATTGGCTCGAATTAAGAAGGAATGACCTGTATTGTTTTGGGATTGTCGCAATAATTAACGAAATATTAAATAAAAAAGATCGGCCAATCTGCGTGAGTAAAAGCGTGCGGCGACGAGAGTCCCACCGTAATCCAATACTACGAGCGCGGCGAAGCGGTGGGCGGGTCACTCTCCGAGACATGATGGTGGTTTGCGATATATCGCAATACCGCGCCGAAAAATGACCCGTCCCCCCTTTTCGTGGCGAGAAATGAATGCAAATGATGCGCTATCATTTCCGCACCACCTTGCGGTAGAAAGCATGGTGCGCTTTTTTTATAGTGGTTTCCCCCATAGGCCTATTCTACTCTCAATTTAAAAATTATTCAAAATGCCATTTACTATACGCTGAATATATCGTAAATGTAAAAAATTAATGGACAGTACCTTTACAAAAATTGTTTCGTGGTTGAAAATCCCTCGATAAAATGTATTCCACACGTTGATAATGTGATACGATGATAAAATTCTTCAAGAATCCTTTCTTCATCTCGTACACGAAGACGCATTGCTGAACCGGTTATCCCGATATTATGCACGACAGTTTCACATAATTATTGCACAAAACGTAAAATTGTACGTCCACTTGGTTTTCGTGCACGCCCGAGAAATGATTCCATGTAAATTGCGGCCGCACGATAAGTATTTTCTCCCGCTAGTCCGTATGCCACAATCATATCCGTATATTCCTGCAGAGTACACTTCATTTTCTCTGTTAATTTACTACGCGAACACAAGATTTTTATTAAAACGTCTTAGCTCTCGCACGCTGTTACCAGACTGCGTACGCCAGCAGCACGCAACTACAGCTGACAGCTGAGCGGACATGTGAGTGTAAGCGTACGTGTGAGTTCGACGCCTGCGCACTATGATTACACTCACATGTCCGCTCAGCTGTAGTTGCGTGCTGCTGGCGTACGCAGTCTGGCAACAACGTGCGAGAGCTAAGACGCTTAGTAAAAATCTTATGTTCGCGCAGTT